AGGGGAACACAGGCTCAAAACTGGGACTGTCCCGGGGAAACAGAGACACTCATGGAGTCTAAATTTATGTAAAAGCTGTTGACCCTGTAGCTCCAAACATGTTCTGAAACACACGTGATTCTTGATTCTTGCAGCACAGACTTCAGTTTGTCTCAGATGATCTGGTTCCTGCTGCAGGTGTTTAAAATCCTGACAGATTCTGAATCCAAACCGCGGTTTTTGGACATTTGGACACAAACGCTCTTCTCCGTGGCTCCACTTCGGCTGTTTTCTCTCCCGCTTATTTTGCATGAACGCCACGCACGGCTCCACGCACGGCTCCACGCACGTCCACGCAGGTAGTAGCTCCTCCGTTTGTGTCAACATCTCAAGGTCAAAGCGCGGCTCGTGTATCCGGCCCGACGGACCCGCGGAACGCTCCGGGACGCGCCGACGGACGATCCGACCCCCCGCCGTGCCCCGCTCAGGGACGCACGGAGGCGCGCAGGGAGGGACGGAGAGGCCGGTGTCTGCTCCACGAACATCTGGACGGGAGGAGGAAGAGGAGGAGGAAGAAGAGGAGGGCTGAGGATCCGTGGACACAACCGTAATGCGGCCGTGATTTTTTAATTATTTATTTTTTTTGTGATTTTTGCGACCCTCTTTTTTTTTTTTTTTTTTTTTTTTTTTTTTTACGCACGTCCCTTTTTTTTTTTTTTTTTTTTTTTTTTTTTTTTACGCGCCATCATCATCAGCATCTCTCCGTCCTCCCGGCCTCCACCTACCGCCTCAAAAAAAACTCCACCATCTCCAACCACAACCGTGCCAAACCGTGTCAAACCGTGTCAAAACGTGCCGGGCCTAAATAAACAAAAATAAATAAATAAATAAATAAATAAGCCCAGCCAGTCGTGAAAGTGGGACAGAAACACCACACCACGTCCACGATAAACACGTAAATACAACGTTCATCAGTGTTAAAACGCACGTCTCCGCACGCCGTGACAGGTACACGCGCTGCACTACATTTATGTGAATATGTTTGAATAAAACGACATGATTGTGATGATTTTGAGGGTGTTTTGTGTTTTCTGTCAGAGTCCGGAGCTCGGAGCTCGTGCTCTATTTTCCGCGAGACACGATCATTTAAAATTCACTACGGCGCTTTGCTAGCGACGCCGAATCCTGCGACATTCACGCTTTAATCTCGTTACGTTTGCCCTTTTTTTGGCCTTTTTTACGAGATGAAATTGAATAAAAACGCCGCGGGGGAGAAGGAGAGTGTTTAGAGAGCGGGTCAGCGTGAAAAAATGACGGTTTGTGCGGCTGAGATAGTGATAAATCTGAGCTCGCGCTGGTTTCGCTTGAAGCCGTTAGCGAGCGGCGGGAGCGCGGCACGGAGCGGTACAGGGGGAGCGGGAGAGCGCGGCAACGGAGCGGCAACGGAGGAGCAAGGGGAGGAAAGGGAGGAAGAGGAGGAGGGGAGGGAAGCCGAAGCAGGGCACCGTGTCTTACCCTCTGACAGCTCCAGGTCCAACTCCGCCAGCCGGGCTCGGATCTCCAGCGGTATCGGCGACGCCTCTCGATCCGCCATCCGCCCGGCTCCGTGATAAACGCCGCGTCCCCGGTCCAGAGCTGCTGCTGCTGCCGCCTGCTGCCGCCGCCCGCTGCCGCTGCCGCCGCCGCTGCTGCTGCTTGTTTTGTGGTTCCTCGCTCCTCGGCGGCCTGTCCTCGGGGGGAAAGGAGGGGGAAAGGCGCGGGCAGAGCGGGGCAGAGAGCGGGAGAGCGGGAGCCTGCGTCGAGCGGAGAACAAAGAGCGCGGAGGGGACGGTGGCTCGGCTTGTTTTCGTCAGCGCGGGCCCGCCATGGCGCCGCTCGGTGAACGCTGCTGGGCTCGCGGTGGGTTTGTGTCGCTGCTGCGGCGGTGGCGGTGGCGGCGGTGGTGGTGGTGATGATGATGAGGAGGAGGAGGAGGAGGCTCTCCGGTTTGCAGCTTCTGCCGCTGGAGTCACGTGACCGCGCGGAGGGAGCAGGGGGAGGAGGAGGTGCAGTGTGCTCCATCACCGGCAGGGGGCGACACTGAGGGCCCGGGCTCGAGGGGAGATCACAGACTAAAACAGGGAGCTCCAACCTGTAGCTCTCCACACCGTGATGAGCAGTGAATTATTTATTAAACTGAATAACTCAAATTTGATTCATTAGTAGAGGTGATTTGGTCTTGATGGGCTGTTGTCTCTGTCTTGTCTCGGTCTTGTCTTGGTCTTGTCTCGGTCTCGGCCTTTAAAAGTCTCGGTCTTGTCTCGGTCTTGACCCTCAGAGGTCTTGGTCTTGTCCTGGTCTCGGGACCTTGTGGTCTTAGACAGATCTTGGTCTTGATTAGTGCGCTCTTCACTACAACACTACTTGTACTTGAGTAACTTTTTTTAATATATTATTATTTCTGTATTGTTATAACCTGTATTCTCCTTCAGAATTGATTCAGGTCTGTTTCATCGATATTTGAACGGGTTTCTAAACCAGTGATGGAGTCTGAAGCCGAGCCTCACACTTTGGGTTGTCGTGACCAGATCCAGTGTGTTTAAACATAAAATGTAGGTGTAACGATATTCAAGTCTCGATACGATACGATATTGTCACAGTATGATATTTATCGTGATATGTTGGGAAAGCTCTGGATTTGGTGGGGAGTTTCACGATTAGGGAAATCTCTCGGTACGATATTTTCAGTGTTGGAGAGTAACAGATCATCAGAGGTGTCCAAACTTCTTTCATCAAGGGCCACAAATCTAAACACAGACAAATCAGAGGGTCGATCGAGACTGGGGCTCAATACAGTGAATAATTGAAATATGTGCATGTTAAACACGTTATAATGAGCCAGTCTTTATTCGTGCTAAGATCCTTAAAACTACACACTAAATATTACATATTTCCTTTAGCCAGGTAGATTTTCAAAAAACTTGCAGTAAAAAGTTTATTTTTAATTGATACAAGGTAAATTGGGCCAATTCACCTGGAAGCCTCAGGACCAAAAAAAAATTGTCTGAGAGCCGCATTTGGCCCACAGGCCACAGTTTGGGCATGCCTGGATTACATGTACCGGAGTTATGTAATCAGAGTACAAATATGAGTAACTGTATTCAGTTAATCTGTGGTTTTCTGTGAGAGAATCTGACTGCAGCTCTTTTAAACTCACATGAAAAACTGGTTCTGGTCAAACCAAACACGTCTCATGTGCAGCTGGATTATGATTTTAATTGATCTTTGATGGAGACAGATTTGTATTTACTGAATGTGTGGCCAAATTTACAGCAAAATAATGGGAATTGTGCAATAATGAAAACTGTGTAATGAGTGGAGTGTGCAATATTTGATTGTTTGCCCCACAGCCCCTTTGTGACAACGGATGGAAATTCGTGTTAGGCGACAGTCCGGTGTGTTCATCATGTTGTGTCATGTTTGTTCATTAACATGCTCCGTCCCAATCAAATAAAATAAGTAATTGGATTATGTCCTCTTATATTGACGTTTACAACAGAATCACAAGGATCACGTTCAGTTTAAGCATTTTATTTTTTTTTTCAAAATAAAGGCATTGTCATTTATTTGTTTAACTATAACTATGGAGTAATTAGGATTTCATTTAGGGCCTAGATTTATTTAGGTTAAGTTTATGGTTGTTGGGTAACACTTATGAAATTAACAAAAGTAAAATTATAAACCTCAGCACACTGCAAAAAAAAAATATATATATATATCAAAGTTAAGACGACTTGAATTAAGAAAGTTTGATCATGATTTGAGTAAAATTCACTTGACGAGTAAAATGATCTGTCAGTGGAACAAAACTTTTTGTATTTAAAATATGAAAATACATCTTGCTGCACTTAAAATAAGAAAAACAACAACTTTATGCACTTAAAATAAGAAACAAAATCTAATGTTGCTTGAATGAAGAAAAACAATCTTATCCCCTTGGTAAATTAATTTACTTGTCAAGTTGAATCGACTCAGATAAAGTGAAATGTTCTTAATTTAAATCATTTTCATTTAGTTAGATATTGTTTTTTTTTTCCAGTGCAGAAAAATAGACAAAACTTGGCAACGTTTTTAATAAAATCTTAAATATACAGACTGTTTGTCATGTGCACTTGAACCAGTTTACATCTGAGTTAAATCATGGAGCAGCTGTTGAAGAACACGATCATCTGAGAATTATTGACATACAGATACATACATCCAACCAGCGCGTGCACGTGTCATCACATGTTTACAGTGACATGTGTTGGCCGCGCGTTTGTTCCGTGCGCTTCTGTCTGTGTGACGCGCTCCTGTTTCTCCTTTTCTTTTTCTTGCAGCTCTCTCTCGGGTGTAAAAAGTTGCCGTGACAATGATAATGTGTTAAATGTGGCAGGTCAAGAGGCCGTGCGTGTGCGTAAGTGTGCGTAAGTGTGCGTAAATGCGCGTAAGTGCGCGGCACTGGCGTTAATACTGCAGATTTCATTAGTGCCGCGAGGCTCATTCATTAAACCGATCACTGCCCAAATCTAATCACGCTCCTGCGCGTGAACAGTGCGCGTGAATAGTGCGCGTGAACAGTGCGCGTGAAGAGGCGGGAGCGCGGGGCTGTGCTGACCCCTGCAGGAGCAAAGAGGAACTGCACCAGCGGGAAAACAACAAACACAACAACCCCCCCAGGCCCTGTCCCCGAGGAGAACAGGACACCTGTTTGTCTCCATGGAGATGTTTCTTGTTTTTCCTGGAATGTTCCACAGTATGGCATTAAACTCATATCTTAATGGACATAAATAATAAACAGGTCAAGTTACGCGTCAGATCTGTAGAGGGGCGATTCCCTCACACCACTGCACAGGTTTCAAGGTATTTTTTTACGTAACTGAAAAAATATATAAAAGATAAAACTGTTTCCATCTCCTTGGAGACGAGCACATGTATCAGAGAAGTTCCACAGTGCAGCTTTAGGCAGTACAAAAATAAAACAAATGATTTGAGACGTGAAATATTCAACCCAAAGGCACTTGTTTTAATGTGGAGTTTATGTACATGTGTAGAGACAGAACAGAATGACCTGCTCCTACAGGCGACTCAGAACATGACACACTCACAAACAAAGCTCTGGACTCAACAAACTGACACAAACTCCTCCAACTCCTCAAACATGGAAAAAAAAACATTTAAAATGAGACAGATTCTTCTGAAACGTCGTCCAGCACAGAATACAGAATAAAAGTGTGAGCTAAGCAGAGATGTACAGCGCTCTGTAAAAACCCAACAGTGTTCAGACGTCAGCTTCACAAAAACTGAACATGTTTTTAAAAAAAAAGAGAAAAAAAATATACATTTATCATTTTTAAAATGCTTAAAGCAAATGTATAAAGTATTCTGGGTGGAGCAGGACTAAACCTAAAGAAAACTAAAATGAATCTCAATCGTTTTTATTGCTCCAAAAACTGAAATTGATGAATCCTGAGGCCAGAGCAGGTCAAAGGTCATGTCCCGATTTCTCCTCATGTTTATCCTCATGTCAGACCTGATGTTGCGTTGGACCTGAAGTGTTGGACCTGAAGCGTTGGACCTGATGTTGCGTTGGCTCGGACTGGACATAAATGATCCGTGTTGAGCCTGGAGTCACCGTAGGACCTCGGCCTCCTGCCCTGGGTACGTGGGGATGGACTGGACTTTGGTTACGGACTCAGTGCTGCCCCCTGCTGCCCTGTGAGGGGCGAGGCTGAGCTCAGCGGCGCCCCCTGCAGGAGGAGCCTCTTCAGTGTGGCTGGGTTCTTTTTGGGCTGGTTTGGTGTGATTGTGTTTGGGAGAAACAGGAGAGGAGCCTCTGGGAGAAGAAGACTTCTGACAGATCTGTGCGTAGCTCGGCTTTTTTGACTCCTGGAAACAACAACAAAACATGGATCTGGTTTAACAGAAAACTCAAGAAATCAGTCTAACTTAAAGACGATCTACCTGATTTTTACAGTTTTAAAAATGTGAAAAACAGCTCAAGTTTATTTTAAGTTTAAGTAAGTAAGAGCCGAGCTAAAAACTACAAACAAAGCGAAAGATCTGCTCAACAACACATCAGGTAGAGCTGTAGTCAAGTAGAAACTGAACACATTTAAACACATGTGAAAATAAAAGTGTCATGTGAACATACAGAGTCCAGTGCGGGTGCAGAGGGGTCAGTGGAGGCCGGAGCAGATCTGTCCTTTCTCTGAGGCTCCTTCAGCCTGAACACAAAAACAGAGGAACACACCATCAGTCACGTTCTCTGAGGATCAGGATCTTCTGGATTCAGCTCAGTCACTCAGATCTGCTGAGAGGAACACATCTGAAAGGTCAGAGGCTAAAGGGGCTTAGTCCTGGTTTAGTCCTTGTTTAGTCTTGGTCTAGTCTTGGTTTAGTCCTTGTTTAGTCCTGGTTTAGTCCTGGTTTAGTCTTGGTTTAGTCCTGGTTTAGTCCTTGTTTAGTCCTGGTTTACTCTTGGTTTAGTCTTGGTTTAGTCCTGGTTTAGTCCTGGTTTAGTCTTGGTTTAGTCCTGGTTTAGTCCTTGTTTAGTCCTGGTTTAGTCTTGGTTTAGTCTTGGTTTAGTCCTGGTTTAGTCCTTGGTTTAGTCTTGGTTTAGTCCTGGTTTAGTCCTGGTTTAGTCTTGGTTTAGTCCTGGTTTAGTCCTGGTTTAGTCCTTGTTTAGTCCTTGGTTTAGTCTTGGTTTAGTCCTGGTTTAGTCCTGGTTTAGTCTTGGTTTAGTCCTTGTTTAGTCCTGGTTTAGTCCTGGTTTAGTCCTTGTTTAGTCCTTGTTTAGTCCTGGTTTAGTCTTGGTTTAGTCTTGGTTTAGTCTTGGTTTAGTCCTGGTTTAGTCCTTGGTTTAGTCCTGGTTTAGTCCTTGTTTAGTCCTTGTTTAGTCCTGGTTTAGTCCTGGTTTAGTCCTTGTTTAGTCCTTGTTTAGTCCTGGTTTAGTCTGGTTTAGTCCTTGTTTAGTCCTGGTTTAGTTCTGGTTTAGTCCTTGTTTAGTCCTGGTTTAGTCCTGGTTTAGTCTCATCCAGGTTGAGTTCTTCCCGGTAAACCAGCAGACTCTCCTGGGGTGTGACGTGTGGAGACTTACACTTGTGTCTCGGTCCAGACGCCCTGCAGCAGCGGAGGGGCAGACTTGGACTTAGAAACCTGCTCAAACACAAAACGACATTTAAGACAGCGAGTCTGAGTCCAGGTGGGAGGTTTGATGGGAGTCGTGCGTTACCCTGACGTGGTCTGCGGGGGGCGCTGCAGAGGCGGACAGCGGGGGGAAGCTGGTGAGGGTGAGTTCAGGAGGAGGAGAGGGACGACGCGCCGCCTGAACAGTCAACACAACTTTAGTCTAACTCTTTACACCACAGAAACACTCGGCCCAGGTGCATTGTGGGACATGTGGTTTACTCACTGGAGGAGTGGATGTGTCGCCGTTCATGTTCTCCCTCTTCCTCGGACCTCGCCTGAAAAACACCACAGGACATGTTAAAGGAGCACTGCGGCACTTTTCACCTTCTTGTCTCCGTGGATATTTTTATTGCTTGTTCAACAGTGCGGCATTAAACTTAAATCCACACACAAGCAGGTGAAACAAAGCACCTTTCAAGTGTTTACCTACAATAAAAAAACCAAACACTGATGACATCTGTGACTGACGTGAACCTGCACGTGTACAGTACCTGCTGCGCTCTCCAGGGGGCGCTGAGTCTGTCCTGTTGTGGAAGCCTCCTCTGCCGCGCCGGCCTCTGCCCCTGCCTCGACCCCGGTCCGGTCTGTAGTCCGGTCTCTGGTCCCTGGTCTTCTCAAAGTCCTGGTCTGGTCTCCAGTCTGAGTGAGACCAACGAGAGCCTCTCCTGGAGCAGAGCACAAACACAAACACACTCACACTCTAACGGCGGGGCGTTTAGGTTTGTACCCGAGTTTGACCTGAGTTTGACCTGAGTTTGTAGACAGACAGACTCGTACCTGTGTTTGTGGACAGACAGACTCGTACCTGTGTTTGTGGACAGACAGACTCGTACCTGTGTTTGTAGACAGACTCGTACCTGTGTTTGTGGACAGACTCGTACCTGTGTTTGTGGACAGACTCGTACCTGTGTTTGTGGACAGACAGACTCGTACCTGTGTTTGTGGACAGACTCGTACCTGTGTTTGTGGACAGACAGACTCGTACCTGTGTTTGTGGACAGACAGACTCGTACCTGTGTTTGTGGACAGACAGACTCGTACCTGTGTTTGTGGACAGACAGACTCGTACCTGTGTTTGTGGACAGACTCGTACCTGTGTTTGTGACAGACAGACTCGTACCTGTGTTTGTGGACAGACTCGTACCTCGTACCTGTGTTTGTGGACAGACTCGTACCTGTGTTTGTAGGGGTTAAACGGTTTGAAGATGGCCGCGGCTGAAACACCATTTACAAAATCGTTCACCAGGTCTGTGGGCGTCTGCAGAAACACGTTCACGTCATATTACACAGGGTTTTGTTCTCGCGTGAGCAGATCCGTGTACGGTGGCATTTGTTCCCGTCTCACCTGCCTGCCGTCGCCGCCGCCGTCGTGGAAGCCCTGCCCGGACACGCCCCACAAGTCGCTGGTGAGGTGGTACAGTTGGTCCTGCAGCTCGGGGCAGTTCTGGGGGAAGTAGGAGTAGGGGGCGGGGTCCGTCTCCGTGGCGACGCACCTGACGCTGTTCTTTGGGCCGTAGCTCGCGGTGGCCATCGTTTTGGCTTTGATCCGAACCATCAGAGGCCTCCCCTGGAACTCACGCACCTCCTCACGCAGGAACCTGTACGCCTGAAACACACACACCGTCTGTGTTTATAGGGAGTAACACGACTGGGGGTGTCAGGCTAACCAGAGGCTCTGCTCTGTCTGAGACTCTGTAAAACTTTAACTGTTGGAACTACGACAGATGAGCTGATCTGTGCTGGTAAACAAATCCCTCTCAAATAACATTACAGTCACAAGCACAAGTTTTCATCTTAAACCTGATGTGACAGTGTTTGCTCCTGTGTGCTTATGCCTCTGCTGAACATTCCACCATAGACATACATGTAGAACACCCCCAGCTCTGTAGTGTCTGACCTGCTCTGCGTCCGCCTCAGACTCAAACGTCACAAACCAGTTGTCGTTGTTCACGAACTCACAGCTCACAAACGTGGGCAGTTTGTCGCTGGTGAAGAGCGACTCCACGTCCTGCACACAGCAGCTCCAGTCACGATCATTACGTCACACATCATCACGTACACAGTGTTATTCATGTACCAGTGCTCACCTGCACAGGTGTGCTCTGAGGAATCTCCCTGAGGATCACCACACACCTGCTCTGCTGTGGTCTGAACTTCTGCCCACAGGGGGCGACCTGCACCAGGGGCAGAGCTGCAGCACAGACACTCTGTAAATGACTCTGGAACAAACTCATCATCTTTACTTATATGTACAATAGTAGAAAGTACAGTACTTGTACTACACTGCAGTAGTACAGTGAAATAGTACAGTACAGTACAGTAGTATATTGTAGTAGAACAGTGTAGTAGGATAATGCAGTAGTATAATACAGTAGTATAATGCAGTAGTGAGGTGTAGTAGTATAATGCAGTAGTGAGGTGTAGTAGTATAATGCAGTAGTATAATGCAGTAGTGAGGTGTAGTAGTATAATGCAGTAGTGAGGTGTAGTAGTGAGGTGTAGTAGTATAATGCAGTAGTGAGGTGTAGTAGTATAATGCCGTAGTGAGGTGTAGTAGTATAATGCAGTAGTGAGGTGTAGTAGTATAATGCAGTAGTGAGGTGTAGTAGTGAGGTGTAGTAGTATAATGCAGTAGTGAGGTGTAGTAGTATAATGCAGTAGTATAATGCAGTATTGAGGCGTACTCTTTAGAACGTCTGTGATGAGCTGGACGTCGGTGCTCACAGACTTGATCTGGTCCAGACTGGTCAGAGTGGAGATGGGCAGATACTGGTCACTGTCCATCTGAGACTTCAGGTACAAGTCGTTACTCAGGTGTTCTCTGGAGGGGGGGGGGGGGGGGCAGAGAGATCAGAGAGAGAGACAGAGACAGAGGGACAGAGGGACAGACGGACAGAGGGACAGAGGGACAGAGGGACAGAGGGACAGAGGGAGGAGTTAGAGAAGTGAATGTTCTGCTGTTGACGGTCAGTGTGAGTGTCTGTGTCTGTACCTGGTGAGGCAGGACTCCAGGAGGCTCTGGAGCTGCTCTCTCACTTTGTCTGAAACAGAGTTCAAGCGTCAGTGATCAGTCACAGTTTAGTGATAAATAAAACAGAGGACAGTGTTTACCAGAGACAGGCGCCACAGTGGAGACAGGTGCCAGGACAGGTGCAGGTGCCAGGACAGGTGCAGGTGCCAGGGCAGGTGCAGGTGCCAGGGCAGGTGCAGGTGCCAGGGCAGGTGCAGGTGCCAGGGCAGGTGCAGGTGCCAGGGCAGGTGCAGGTGCAGGAGGTGCAGGTGCAGGTGCAGCCAGGGCAGGTGCAGGTGCCAGGGCAGGTGCAGGTGCCAGGACAGGTGCAGGTGCCAGGGCAGGTGCAGGTGCCAGGGCAGGTGCAGGTGCCAGGGCAGGTGCCAGGGCAGGTGCGGGGCTCAGAGCGGGTGAGTCTCCGTTCACTGTGGCCTCTGAACAGAAAGGCTCGTACTGAAGTGAAGAGTCATAGACGACGTCGGGCTCCAGCAGCTCCAGGGCCTCACAAAGCTCCACAGAGAAACCTGCACCGAACATCAAGACACCAGAGTCTCACTGTGGGGCTTTAGGTACTCCCAGATACTCCCAGATACTCCCAGATACTCTCAGATACTCTCAGATACTCTCAGATACTCCCAGATACTCTCAGATACTCTCAGATACTCTCAGATACTCTCAGATACTCTCAGATACTCCCAGATACTCCCAGATACTCTCAGATACTCTCAGATACTCCCAGATACTCCTCAGATACTCTCAGATACTCTCAGATACTCTCAGATACTCTCAGATACTCTCAGATACTCTCAGATACTCCCAGATACTCTCAGATACTCTCAGATACTCCCAGATACTCTCAGATACTCTCAGATACTCTCAGATACTCTCAGATACTCCCAGATACTCTCAGATACTCTCAGATACTCTCAGATACTCCAGATACTCCAGATACTCTCAGATACTCCCAGATACTCTCAGATACTCTCAGATACTCTCAGATACTCTCAGATACTCTCAGATACTCTCAGATACTCCCAGATACTCTCAGATACTCTCAGATACTCCCAGATACTCTCAGATACTCCAGATACTCCCAGATACTCCCAGATACTCTCAGATACTCTCAGATACTCCCAGATACTCCCAGATACTCTCAGATACTCTCAGATACTCTCAGATACTCCCAGATACTCTCAGATACTCTCAGATACTCCCAGCTCCTCCTGTACACACCGTTGTGGTCGGGCTGGACGCTGCTGTACTGGACCCACTGCTCTGAGTCATGGGTGCCCTGGGTGCTGTGGGTGCCCTGGGTGTAGTAGGTGCCCTGGGTGTCGTAGTCGGTGTGGGTGCTGTAGGGGCCGTCTGTGTTGAAGGTGAGTCTGGCTCCGGTCCATGATTTGGCCTCTGGGTTCAGGGTGGTTTTGGGCAGAGGCTCCTGACACACAGGCTCCTGACACACAGGCTCCTGACACACAGGCTCCTGACACACAGGCTCCTGACACACAGGCACAAAGTCACATTTAAAAAGAGACACTTTCACACAGATGAAAGAGTTCATGGTGACACATGCAGCCCTACATTTGACACAGGTCATGTGAACTACCAGTCCAGCGTTTGGACACAATCTCAATCAATGTTTATTGATTTTTTTCTTTATTTAGTACTTTATACATTTTAGATACACACAGAAGACACAGAATATATGAAGCAAGAAAGGAATGATGTAGTGAAGATTTCTTTTTAAATAAATATTTTTCACCAAAGCACAGGATGGACACTTTGAGGATTTAAATATAAAATATAAAACTAATATTTACTAGAGTTCTTTCACTTTTTTCCATGTATCTTACTTCATATATTTAATGTCTTCTGTGTGTGTATAAAATGGTAAATTAAAATAAAGAAATAAAACCCTGAGTGTGTTCTGTCTGGTAATGCACATTAAATAACCTCATGTGTTAGATAAACAGAACAGAGTCTTACGTTGCCCGTGTGCCAGTCCCAGATGCAGCCTCCCTGTGGGTTCACCGTGCTGTAGGGATACACCCCCAGCAGAGCCATGGAGGGCTGGAGCTCCGACACAGAGGCAGGGATGTGCTCCGCTCCGTGCCCGGGCTCGAGGCTCTTCTGTGGGGCGAGTTCGGCCCGAGACGCCCCCTGTGCCCAGCCCTCACAGCTCTGCTCCAGCCCCAGTCTGATCCACGTCTGCGGGTAGAGCTGACACACGGACGAGCGAGCGTCCTCCCCCAGCAGCTCCGACACCATGTGCCTCATGCCGCACTCCTCCTCCTCGTCCTCCGGGGGCGCTGCGCAGCCGGAGGACGGGGGACAGTGGATCTCGTAGGAGGGAGTGGAGGCATAGACGTCGATCTGACCTGGATCCACCTCTACAAACGCCGCCTCTCCTCCGCTCACTGACGGATCTACAGACTCGTCAGCGTCTGGAGTCGGAGCGCTGAGCTCTTCGTGTGCTCTGTCACGTTCTTCTCCTGAGCTCTGGTCTACAGACTCTGGACAGTCCAACATGACCTCAGTGTCTGTGTTTTCCTCTTGTGATAGTTGAGCAGAAACATCACACTGGGTCTGGTCAGAGTCTGTATTTTCCTTTGATAAACCGCACGTCTCACTGTGTGCGACTGGTGTTTGTATTTTGTCCTTCTCCATTTCACTTTTCGTTTTGTGAGGCTCTGTGTTCACGTGCACAGTCTTTATTTGGCCGTCAGGCTGCAGGTCCTCAGATGTCTGTGTGAAATCGCTCAGATCTGAAGTTGTTTTTTCATCATTAGGAGATAAACTCTCCTGTCTCGTCTCCTCTGCTGTTCCTGAACTGCAGTGGCTCTTTTCATCTGCGCTCACTGCTTTGAGTTTGAGCTCTGTGTCTTTTTCTTGTGACAGTTGAGAAGCAAAATCCTTTTCGACATTACAAACCGGAGCGTGCGTCAGTTCACCACAGAACGTTGCTTGTGGTGCAGTTTGTGTTTGAACAGAGGAGTCTTCATCACTGTTGTCCTGAGTGTACAGTGTTGTAGAAGGACGAGGAGTGTGTTGATCTCCCGTCTCTGTGTCTAAAACTCCCTCAGTATCCTCCTTAACCCTCACTCTGCCCTCGCTGTCTGCAGGATCTGACACTTTTATGACTTCTTTTTTATCCAGTGCTTTAGTGAGGCTTGAATTCAGCGTAAAACTCAGTGAAGCATCTGTATTTAAGAGTCCATCGTCTCTGTGCTCCTCTGTATGTCCTAGAGGAGCACTGGACCCCTCCTCTGCCTCCCTGTGCTCCTCTCTCTGCTCCTCTGCCTCCCTGTGCTCCTCTCTCTGCTCCTCTGCCTCCCTGTGCTCCTCTCTCTGCTCCTCTGCCTCCCTGTGCTCCTCTCTCTGCTCCTCTGCCTCCCTGTGCTCCTCTCTCTGCTCCTCTGCCTCCCTGTGCTCCTCTCTCTGCTCCTCTGCCTCCCTGTGCTCCTCTCTCTGCTCCTCTGCCTCTTGTACAGTTGTGTCCTTCAGCCTGTCGTCTCTGGACTCTGTGGAGCTGGGTTTGGTCAGAGGAGGAGGAGCAGTTTGTCGTCTGACCTGAGTGTGTGTTAAACTACACTGTCTCACGTCGTCCTGTTTAGAGACACTGGTCCTGATATTGTCCCCTGAGTCCAGCTCGTCTCTGAGTAAAGTCAGATAAGATGAGACGATGTCCTGTTGCTTTCGTTCACTGGGCGATTCTACACTCTCTGTTTGAGTAACCTCCTCTTCATCAGGACTAAAGCTGGTATCACCTGTGAGCTCTCGTACACAGACTCCTGGAGCGACGGGGGTTTCACTTTGGTTTGTGTTTAAAGACGTTTGGTGGATTTTCACGTCAGAATCTGTTTTGTTCTGAGTAAAATGTCTGATGCTCTGCGCGGCTCTGAGCTCTGCTGTCTGCTCCTCCACATCATCACTAAAGTTTTCAGTCTCTGCTCTGTCTCTTTTATCTAGAGTTTGTTTTTTGAGCCCAAAGTCTGTTTTTCTTGTCTGAGGTTGTCGGTGTGAGCCTGAACCCTGCTCTGCTCTGTGACTGTCCTGAGACGTGACGGCCTCTGCACCGCCCCGTGTATCAGACTCACCCGTGTCATCCACATGAACAGAAGTGTGGACAGTAAACGCACGCCGCTGTGTTTCAGGTTTAAACTCTGACCTCTCCACTTCAATGTACTGGACCGACTCAGACCATTGTAAACCCTGAACATCGCCCCCTGCTGGTGCCTCTGTCTCAGCCTGTGTCTCTGCTTCTGTCACTGTCTCAAATCCACAAACTCTTTCCTCACACATCTTACCTGTCACTGTGAAAGCTCCTGACACTGCCTCACCTGTCACGTTAGAAGCTCCTGTCTCTGTTTCACCTGTCACTGTGAAAGCTCCTGACACTGTCTCACCTGTCACTTTAGAAGCTCCTGTCTCTGCCTCACCTGTGAGTTTAGAAGCTCCTGTCTCTGCCTCACCTGTGAGTTTAGAAGCTCCTGTCTCTGTGAGTTTAGAAGCTCTGTCTCTGTCTCACCTGTGAGTTTAGAAGCTCCTGTCTCTGTGAGTTTAGAAGCTCCTGTCTCTGTGAGTTTAGAAGCTCCTGTCTCTGTGAGTTTAGAAGCTCCTGTCTCTGTGAGTTTAGAAGCTCCTGTCTCTGTCTCACCTGTGAGTTTAGAAGCTCCTGTCTCTTGAGTTTAGAAGTCTCTCACCTGTGAGTTTAGAAGCTCCTGTCTCTGTCTCACCTGTGAGTTTAGAAGCTCCTGTCTCTGTCTCACCTGTGAGTTTAGAAGCTCCTGTCTCTCCTGCAG